GGAACCCCCAGCCTCGACACAGCAGCCAGTCTCAGCCTGTCAGAGGAAGAGATGAGGAGCAAGATGACATTGTATCAGCAGATGTGGAAGAGGTAGGGAGCCTCATTATAAATCATTAAAGCTGTAATGATCTTTGCCTGCAAGGGATTCAGTGCATGCCACTGAGTGCCACCTAGAATCTAAAATGTAGTTGCACTGTAAGACTGCTTTGGTATTTTAACAAGTAGTTTTGTTGTATGTAGTTTACTCCTGCTACACTGTAATTTTAGATTGGACTGTCTGTGTTCTGCTGTACTTCATAGTTTTCTGTCTTTGGATTTCGTTGTTGTTTGTCTCTCAGGTTGAAGTTGTAGAGGGGGTAGCAGGGGAAGAAGACCATCATGATGACCAAGAGGAACAGGGAGAGGAAAATGCTGAGGCAGAAGGGCAGCATGATGAACATGATGAGGATGGTGAGGCACATTCCTTCTGAGTGCAAGGAAATTTCATAATTAATTGTTTGAACACGACAGCCAAACCAGCAACGAGCAATGCAGCTGTTTGTCTTTGTTCCTGCTTTTAGGAAGCGACATGGAACTTGATCTGCTGGCAGCAGCCGAAACTGAAAGCGATAGTGAAAGTAACCACAGCAATCAGGATAATGCTAGTGGCCGCAGGAGTGTTGTCACAGCGGCCACTGCTGGCTCTGAAGCAGGTTGGTCAACAGCTGTTTTTAATCTTTCAGTTAAATTTAATTTTAGATTTTCTTATAAATCCTTCATGACACTCCTCAGTTTCTTCATACTCTTCTTTTGGAGATTTTTTTTGTGTGGAAATGCTGCCACTTTCATTATTGACCTCCTTTGAAATCTTTCCAAATTTTTAAGGCTCCAACTGCTTACTAAACAGAAATTGTATTTCTGACTTGCAGCACTGTGGTGTATTTTTTCCATGACTTACAGACTAATTTCATCATTACAGAATCACTAGTGCTTAACAGTCAGCATTTTGGGTTGTGGAGATTTATGTATGGAGAACTAATGATACAGTAGACAAAATGGTCCCTGGCTGAATACCCCATGTATTTCATTTGCAGGCAGTAGGGTGTCCTTGGCATTTCCTATTTTTGGTATGAGCGCCTCTTTACTTCAATGCATTTACAGACATCAGGGCAAGAGTGAATTTGCAAAGCAGTTGCCTGCTGAGAGTTCCTTCATTTTGCCCCCTTCTCATGTTTCACTGTTGTTGTCTGTCATTTTTAACTAACCCTGTTCCTCATCACGAGTGTAGTCTTGTTGGTCTTTGACCCTAATAACAAACTAATCGATTTTTGCTTTTCCAAATGGTGTGGTATTTTTTTTTTCTCCTTGGTCAACTAAAATGCGTAGTTCTTACTAATGATGCTGTTGATTCATTTTCTCATAGAATATTCAGTACAGTAAAGATATTGCAGTTCTGTGTCTCTAAAGAAATTTCACACAATCTTAAATTATGTAGAAATGGCTTGATCATGAGTGCAGCCATATTTTGGAGTTGACGCTTCACTATTTTCACCAGTATGTTTGGCTTTGTAGTGGTGTGATTCACTAACCTGCACTTCTGCCTGGATAACTGATGTGAAAGACAAAAGAAAGGGGAGGTTAAATAAATACTAAAGCCATTCACCTTGTTTCCTTCATCTTTTTCCTCATCCCTTATCCTCCTCCCTGAAGGTGCCAGCAGTGTTCCTGCCTTCTTTTCAGAGGATGACTCCCAGTCCAACGACTCCAGCGACTCTGACAGTAGCAGTAGTCAGAGTGATGATGTCGACCAGGAAACATTTCTTTTGGATGAGCCACTGGAAAGGACGACTAGTGCATCACACACCAACAGTGCAGCCCAGGCTCCTCGCTCCATGCAGTGGGCTGTAAGAAACACCCCCAGCCAGAGGACCACAGGCAGTGCCCCCTCCAGCACCTCAACACCAGCTGGTCAGTAAACCTTTGTCTCTTCTACAGTTTTATTTTTAAATATCTTTGTCTCCAGATTAGTGTCACAAAGTGTATATTAATTGTACTTAAGATCTGTGTCTTTATCACAGCAAGCTCCACAGGCCTGATATATATTGACCCTACCAACCTGCGTCGCTCCAGTGCAATAAGCTCCAGTGCAGCCGCTGCAGCAGCTGCTCTGGAAGCCAGCAACTCCAGCAGCTATCTGACATCTGCCAGCAGCCTGGCCAGGGCCTACAGCATTGTCATCAGGCAAATCTCTGACCTCATGAGTTTGATTCCTAAGTACAACCATCTTGTCTACTCACAGTACCCCGCTGCTGTAAAGCTTACCTTCCAGGATGCAGTCAACTTGCAGGTAAGGGTCAGTGCCATTATGTGATGATCAAAATTGACACCTCTACTCCAATTACTGGTGTTCCATATACAATATTTTTATTTTTCTAAAGATTTTTTTAAAATTATTACATGACATATGCATACAGTGTTTCATTGGTAACATTTCTTAGTGGTGCCCTGCCTTGCCAAAATCTTTGCCAGCCAATTAATCATTTAACAAAGTCTCTTGGTGACGCGCCTGGTAAGCCTGTAAAACAACACGGGGAGTCAATACACAGGGACAGTGAAGGCCAGTTCAGACGGAGTGTGTTTTTAGGCACATTTTTCACAAAACAGATAGAACTCCATTCTAGCAAGTGTGTCTCCGACACATGTGCAGCTATTGTTTTTCAACACATTTCTGCTTTTGGTTGGCCTGGTGAAGACTGTTGGTCTGTCCGCTGCCCTTCCAGATCATCAGGAGCCGATGACTGACAGCTGCTCTGCCGTTCACGTCTTGCTTTCGGTCAGACTGCAGTTACATTGTTGAGTGAAGCACCGGAGACTGGTGAACTGTTTGACTTAGTTTAGTAACTTAAGAAAAAAAATCTTGGATAACTGTCACAGAAAAATAACTAGCCTATTATAATCCATCTAATTATTAAGCATTTGTTCACCTCCATAGAGATGGAGCATGGATTAGGGATGGAAGATAGAGCTCAGAGGAGTACCCAGTGGATACTAGGTGGCCAAACCTCTTGATCCACAGGAAACACTGGTGTATATTTAGTCAAGAAGAAAAGATGTTATGCTACCACGACATTGTCATTTGGCATGACATCATTTAGATGAGCAAGAGAATGTTTGGTAATAACAAACGACCCTCCTGGTCTCTTTTCTTGATGCATTTAAAAATACACTTGGTTACACATTTATAAAAAGGATTTATAAAAGATGCATGTAAGTGTTAAAATTTTTTATCATAGTTTGCTCATTTTTATGTCTCCATGTGGGCAATAACTGTGGTCGAAGGCATTGTGTGTTCGGGTTGGTCGTCCATACGTCTGTATGAGCCATTCTTGTGAATGCGATATGTCAGGAAGGCTGTAATGGAATGAGTCCACTTGGGACTCCAGGGAAGGAGCTAAGATTTGGTGGTCAAAGACCAAGGTCTGTGAATGCATGTCTGTCCGTTTCTGTGAATTTGACTGATTGGTGGAGTCATACGCCTCGATTAAAGTGGTAATTCTAGTTTGAGCATGCATTACAGCTGGCTGGTTTAAAAAATAAAATCAAATCACAATCGTGTGGTGTAGAAGACTGAAAAGTAACAGCACATCAGTTTGGCACCTTTAGCATTGTAATACACAGTATTATGAGGTTACTGCATTTGGCACTGGACAGCAGTGACTGCCTGATCGTTTTGTTTAATAAAACGCTTATCTACCAAATTAATTGAATAAGAGTGAAATATTTGTTTGCTGAACCAGAACTATGTTGAAGAAAAGTTGATTCCTACCTGGAACTGGATGGTGTCCATCATGGATTCCACTGAGGCTCAGCTGCGATATGGCTCAGCCCTGTCATCTGCTGGAGACCCCGGTCACCCCAGTCATCCGCTTCATGCTTCTCAGCATTCGGCACGCAGGGAACGCATGACTGCTCGTGAAGAGGCCAGCCTCCGCACCCTGGAAGGACGCAGGTAAAACAAATCAACTTTTGTTTACTCTTTTGAGTTAATTTTGGCAATGCTACTTATTCACACTAATTTGATCAGGTTTTTTTCTGTTTATTACATAAAGTGTTTAGTTAAATGAGACCTCATGGACAGGGCTCCAGAGTGCAAGTGATCAGTCGCATTTTGCGACAAAACTTAGGGTGCAACTGAGTTTCTTCAAAGGTCACACTGATAGCGACTGCAAAACCTGCCAGTTGTACACGAACGAATGCTCTCACTGTAGAAATGGTGGACAGATGCTACAATCTCTGCAATACTGCCATTGCAATGTTTATCTGCAGGTCTGTCACTTGCTCATCTCATGAAGCAGAGAAGTCCAATCTATCACGTGTCAATCCATACTGACTCAGGGATGGAAATCACCCCTGGACCCCACTTTTTGCACTTTGAGTCTGTTTTTTTTCTTTGGCGCATTTGATGTGTAGGCACCAAGTACAGTATCTATTAGAATCTTTTTACTTGAATCTTTTATGATGGATCAGACTCCTGGTGTCACTGTGAGCTTTCTCGTTTTCTACTGTTGGTCAGCCTAGTGAAGACCGTGCTGTCCTCCTGCTGACAGAAAGCCATTCTGACAAGAGACGCTGCAGGGAGGTCAGAGTCAGCGTGGATTGGATGGACCAAACAATTAAGTTGCGCATACACGCCGGTCACGTCTAGTAAAGTCCCAGTTTGAAGTTTAGTAGTGGCTTAAACCCACCATCGGGTCCTTCTTTAACTAGTAACTTTAGCCCAGAAATGAGCTGGCACTAGTCAGGCAAGTGAGAGAGCTGAACTGTGCATGAAGTAGATATCGCCAAAAAGCAGAAATTCTTCTTCAGAAAAAAACTACAAATGGGTTTAACCACATCATCATGGTGTATGCTAGGCTTATAGAGCACTACAGTGACCACATAAAAAGAGGTGGAAACGTGTTCCAGAAGTGATTTTCCCATTTATTGTGTTCCATAGTCTCCCTCTCTCTGATTTCTATTAGAAATATAGGCGCTGCATGGTAAGGGTATTTAACATTACAAAAAATACAATCTTCTGCATTAAATTGGAAAACAGAGGAGATGCCACCAGTATGAAATATTAGTCTGGAGCCCTGATGGAGTAATTGTAGAGTGTAACACAAGTTATAGTATTTTGTTATAATTTAACAAAAACCACTAAAGAGCTCCTTTAAAAGGCAACCTTCTAGTCCTAATGTAATGCTTTCCACTGTGTGTGTTCAAACGTGCTTTCTTCACAGTTTGCACAGTTATGTAGCTCTATATTTGTGTGCTTGTAAGGTAAATTGTGTTCTTGTTTTTTTTTTTTGTTTCAGGAGACCTGCCACTCTGTTGACAGCTCGCCAAGGCTTGATGTCGGCCCGAGGCGATTTTTTGAACTATGCTTTATCACTGATGCGCTCCCACAATGATGAGCATTCTGATGTACTTCCTGTGCTCGACGTGTGCTCCCTTAAGCATGTGGCCTACGTCTTTCAGGCTCTCATCTACTGGATTAAGGCCATGAACCAGCAGACTACACTGGATACTCCACAAATGGATAGAAAGAGGTAAATGCAGACAATGAAGGAAATACTCTCTTTATATTCAAAAAATGAGAAGCTTCAAGGGATGTGTAATTTTGGTTTGATTATAACCAAAAAAGAGGCAGAATTCCACAGATGAGATTCATGGTTATGACTTTAAATGTGTGACAACTAGATTACCCATTTCCACTCATAGAATTGCATATGGCTGCCACTAGACAAACCTCTAGAAGAGGGGTGGCCAATTCCAGTCCTTGAGGGCCTCTGCCCTGCTTGTTTTCCAACTATCCCTGCCTGACCTGCTGCTGATTACCTGGCTCAGGTGTGTTCAGTCAGTCAGAAACTGGAAGATACCAATTCACTTTATCTTTCCTCACTCCACTTTCATCTAAGATGGTATCTTCCAGTTTCTGACTGACTGAACACACCTGAGCCAGGTAATCAGCAGCAGGTCAGGCAGGGATAGTTGGAAAACAAGCAGGACAGCGGCCCTCGACTGGAATTGGCCACCCCTGGTCTTGAACCCTTTTTTTTTTACATTTCATTACACTCATCTGCAGGGGTGGTAACATCATTTTGTCTGGTAGTTTGCTTGACAAAGAAAATGAGAAGATGGTTGCTAGAGCATTAGAGTAATCACTGCTTCAAATTTAGAATCACGTCTGTGTGCGTGTGGTTGAGACAACATTTGTTACCAATATTTGTAGGAATCGAGAGATCTTGGAATTGGGTTTGGACAATGAGGATTCTGAGCATGAGAATGATGAGGACACCAATCAAAGTAAGTCGGATATAATTACTTGTATGCAAATAATATTCCAAAAACTGCTGAGGCATTAAGGCATCTTATTTTTTTTTTTCCTCAGGCTCAACTCTGCAGGACAAGGATGAGGACCCAGTTCCAGCTGAAACAGGCCAGAACCACCCTTTCTTTCGTCGGTCTGACTCCATGACCTTCCTTGGTTGCATCCCACCCAATCCCTTTGATGTCCCTCTGGCTGAGGCCATTCCATTGGCAGATCAGCCCCACCTCTTGCAGGTCAGACTTGCTCTATGTGATCCAGCTAAAAAGGCTAACGTGGAAAGAGTTAGAGATACAGGATCCACTTCATACCTTCATATACATTGGATATAGAAAAGAATCACCCCCTTTCAGAGCATTCATATTTTGCAGATCCACAGCCTGAAATGAAATCACAAAAAGCATAATTTTTCCAGCTTTATTTACTCAATGCAGCTTATAACATAAAAATGAAATGGAAAAAAGAGCACAATTAAGTTTGTAATTAAGAAGTAGAAGGTGTTTTGTACTACCTGGTCTCTGGCCGGGTCAGGCCATCCCTGAACAGCAGAGTGAGGAGGAAACTGGTCAGAGAGGCTTCCAAGAGGCTAATGACAACTTTGAAGGAGTTGCAGGGCGTCGTGGCCAAGAGTCAAGAGTGATAATTTTATGGATCTGTGGAATGACCTGAAGACTGCAGACACCATAAAGCTACAAAAATTCTGTGTTTTTGTAAAAGACTATGAAACAACAAAATGTAAATGTAAAGGGGGTGAATCTTTTTTTATACCCGCTGTAGCGGGATGCTGCTGATAGATTCAAGATTTTTATTTGCCATTTATGCATAAACAGTCTAGACATATAGGAATTCTTATGCAGCTCTCCTTTGGAGTCAGGTAAGGAGTCAAAAGCCAGAAAGAACACTTAGTCTGAAAATAAGAAAAAAGTTACATAAAGGCAACAAAACATTAAAACCACAATATACAAAAATAGGGTAATAGTATTTCCCACAGTGAACTTCAAACATTGCATAGAGATGGTTGCTGTGTTTCTGATGTGGTGAAAGTGCCCCCACAGCCTTTATGGCAATTGTTGCTCACAATATAAGTTTGTGTCAACAATATGTTTCAGACATTTTGGCCCAGTGTGGAAATCTACCTTTTGTTTCCTTGAACTGAGCCTTAGCCAAAGCTGGTGCTTTGATTTATGGGCAACGGGGTTTATTCACATTCCAGTGGGCATGTCAAGGCACCTCAAAGTTGCCATGTTTCTTTGAACCCAAGAGTGCTGAGTTTCTATCTGTCATCACAAGGAGACACTGCATAATGTTTGTGGTGCAGAGGCCATTTTAACAGGAAGGACATGAACAGTTGTGGTATAAGCAGTACTTGCTTGAACAGACATTTCTAACACAGCAGACACAAGACACAGTCACTAGGCAGACTATATATAATGGCCAAACAGCCTTTGAGGAGTTAATGTAATTTTTCTACTTCTCTCACAGCCTAATGCCAGGAAGGAGGATCTGTTTGGTCGTCCCTCTCAGGGCTTGTACTCCTCCTGCTACATGGCAACCAAAGGCCTGGCTGAGGCAAGCATGGACAGGAACTGCCTGGAGGTAAACATGGGCTCCTCTCTACCCTCCCCCTCTCAGGTATACCACCCCTTTTCACTGGACACGCACGCTGGCAGCTGTGTTCTAATATCTACATGTAACAAACACGATTGAAATGTTGACGCAAGTCCGCTTTTAAATACAGCTCAGTAAAAACTATCCATAATTCATCCTTCATTACTAGATATTATTTCCACTGCTCTTTTGAGGCATTGGTAATAATAGATAAAAAATAATAATGGGGATGTTGGATAGTCTTCTTGCGTACAGTCATTGTGGATATTGGAACACAGCCTGTGTTCTGTGTCCCATTTCCACTCTTTCATCATCACACTGCCATCATCTCAAGTCACGTGTCTGCTCACATTACTAAAAAGCAACTCTGATCCCCTGTGAACAGATCCTCCCCACTAAGATGTCTTACTCAGCCAACCTGAAGAATGTGATGAGTATGGAGAGTGGCCAGCGGAGCACCGAGAGTCAGTCACTGGCAGACCAAGAGATGGAGGTCTCGAAACCGGGCCCTTCACCCCATGACCTTGCTGCCCAGCTGAAGAGCAGCCTGCTTGCTGAGATTGGTCTCACTGAGAGTGATGGACCTCCTCTCCCATCATTCAGGTACTATAAGCATCTGCTCTGTGCCTTAGACTTAGCAGAGGTTGCAGATGAAATTGTCTTCAGAGATTAATAAATGGAAATGTAAGGAGAATATTGTTGGCTGAGCCTGACCCAGAGAAGATTCTTTTTATGTCCATATTTATATTGAACAGCAGTTCTCAGAATTTGTGTAGTATATGGTATTTCATATACTAACACTATTAAAAGTGTATAAACTGACAAATAATATAGTCTTCAGTATGTTGTAATTTTACTATTAAATGAGATATAAAATATCAAACTGTCATGCTGTCTCTCTGTCCAGACCCCACTGTAGTTTCATGGGGATGATGATCTCACATGACATGCTACTGGGCCGCTGGCGTCTGTCGCTGGAGCTCTTTGGTCGTGTCTTCATGGAGGATGTGGGAGCCGAACCTGGATCGGTACGTTTCATCTTAGAATTAATTTAACCTGAATAAAAAAGAGCAGTCACTTCTACCCCTGTTCCTTTCTTTAATGAAATTAAAGTTTTTAATTTCTGACTGACTGCAGACATCCCACCACTCCAGGACATTTTGCGAGTCTTACACATATTAATGCAGCTCCCAGCTGCCTGCAAATCATGTACACCATCTGTAAATTGATTTATTTAATTTTGAAATGGAGAGAGACAGAGAGCACAGGAGCATCCTGATTCATCTCTCTTTGTGGGCAGGCTTTACCTTCAACCTCTGTCTCTCTCCATCAGTTGAGTTGAGTTTCCTGCAGCTGCAGAATCCTCCAAAGAATGAAAATAAACAGATTTTACCCCAGAGTAGAGTATAATGTACCCACGCCTAACAGTGGTTAAAAACTGCACTGTTGGCAGCAGTGATTCTTCTATTGCACATGGTGGGTTAAATGATTGTAAAAGACATGTTGAGGTGGGTTTAACAGGCATCATTCATTTATTAGCTTTTGAGAGCAAATGCTATTTAAACTAGCTGCTGGCTTCTCTGTATTGATGCCCTGTTTGATGAGGTCATCCTCCCTGTATACTTGATATAGATGTTCATCCTGAAATGGGTGTTACACTTGTGGTTGAAGCATCACTGAGTTATTTTTTTCCAGGACTGTTAAGGGGCAGAAAAAGACTACATAATGGACCTACTGTATAGCAACTTTAGTCTTGCTAATGTTACCAAATTCTTGTCTAAGACAACCTGCAACCTATGCTAGAAAATTGGCATGAGATAATTTGAGGATCTTAAAATGAAAAAACTGGCTTGCTCAGATAGGATCCAAAAAGGCAAACTTTGGAATAAATGGATAGAATTTATAAGGATGGGCAGCACGGTGGCGCAGTGGTTAGCGCCGTTGCCTCACAGCGAGGAGGTTCCAGGTTCGGGCCCCACCTGGGACCTTTCTGTGTGGAGTTTGCATGTTCTCCCCGTGCTTGCGTGGGTTCTCTCCGGGTACTCCGGCTGCCTCCCGCAGTCCAAAGACATGCAGCTTAGGTTGATTGGTGTCTTTAAATTGCCCATAGGAGTGCGTGCGTGCGTGTGTGTGTGGTTGTTTGTCTATGTGTTAGCCCTGCGATGGATTGGCGACCTGTCCAGGGTGTACCCTGCCTTTGCCCGATGTTTGATGTAAATAGTTCCAGGTCAAATTGAACATAAAACAAGTACTAGCAAAAAATGAAATGGGGAAATTGTAGAAGGAGAAATGAATATTTATGACATCTATGATACAGATGTAAACGGAGTAGGGTGGATGAAAACACTTAGACATAGCAATGTATGTGTGTAGGCAAGAGGGGAAGTACTTGGACATTGGTGCTCCATCCAGGTGAAGGCACACCAGAGGACAAAACTGAAGCTCATACAAACAGGCATATCTAGTGATATTAGATTAGACTTGATTCAACTTCGTCATTACACATGTACAAGTACAAGGCAACAAAAGGCAGTTTAGCATCTAACCAGAAGTACAATAACAGCAGTGCAGAGTGCACAGTATCTACAGTCTGTACAGTCGGAACTGGTTTACTGATAGATATGTACAATTGATATTTGCAGTAAGATATGTAGGGTAATGTACAATATACAACACTTTATGGATTCAAATTACAAGTAATGGATAAAGTACATTAAGCTTATAGAACACTAGTGCAATGAGATGAAATAGTGCAAAATAAAAAAAAAAGTTAAATGAGTTAACACTTCAATGGATGTAAATAGCGCAAAGATAAATATACAGTATCTGCACGGGGGAGGCGACAGTGTGGTGGGTAGAGCAATCATCTCCCAACTGGAAGGTTGAAGGTTCAAATGTTGGTGCCTGCAGTCCACATGTTGAAGTGTCCTTGGGCAAGACACTGAACCCCCAAGTTGCCCCCGATGGTTAGAGCCATCGGTTGAGTTGGTGCCGCAGATGGCTGCCATCGGTTCTGTACCAGAAACAAATTCCTTGTGTGTAACATACTTAGCCAATAAAGGTGATTATCCTTATAAATATACAGTATCTGCATGTGTACAATACAGTGTGCAAATGGATAAGAGAGCGGTATTCTGTGTATAGAGTGTGCAAATTAATAGATCACTTCAGTGTTACAGGTAACAAGTGCAGTCCCAGGAGGAGAGCTGAGAAGGGATGAGGTGTGTGTGTGTGTGTGTGTAGTTGTGTAGGAGAAGGCAGTGGGGGTCAACGGGGGACAGAGTTCAGTAAGGAGACAGCTGTGAGGAAGAAGCTGTTCCCGAGTCTACTAGTCTTGGTCCGGAGGCTCCTGAAGTGCCTCCCAGAGGGTAGGAGGTGAAACAGTTTGTGAGCAGGGTGAGAGCAGTCCTTGAGAAGGCTGTGAGCATGTCACAGACGGCGTTCCCTGTGAGTACAGAGTACAGTGCTGTGGAGACTGCATTCTCCATGCTTCTATTCCTTTAGGCAAATTGTTGGGGGTCCAGTGTAGGTGGGAGACAGGTCATCAGGTGTGCCAGGACCAGGTGCTCGAAGCACTTCATGACAATGGGTATGAGTGCTACAGGGCAGTAGTCATTCAGGCATGTCCGAGTAGAATGTTTCAGCACTGGCACAATGGAGGTGGTTTTGAAGCTTGTTGGCACAACTGCTTGGGTGAGGGACAGATTAAACATGTCCGTAAAGATGCCAGAAAGCTGTCCAGCACATGCCCTGAGCATGCATCTAGGAATCCCATCAGGGCCAGCAGCCTTGCTTGCGTTGATCCAGCAGTGCAGCAAGCACATCAGTGGTAGCAGAGGGTCTCAGTAATTTTAAAATAAAGGTAAATACCCAGGAGCAATGCAGTAAAATGGGCATCAGTCATCTTTCTTGCTACCTGTAGAATGAATACTTAATATTTACTAGTATTTTTATGCTGTGTTGGACTGCTAGTTTGAAAGATATGCTTTTCTGTAACTTCATATATATGTAACTTATTCTCACCAAGCATTTCTCTGTGCCATTATGTGCTGAGCAGGTGGATGAAAGAGTCAGAGTTAAAGGGCAGGCTGATAATAACTTGCCTCTTTGTTTTATCCCAGATCCTTACAGAACTGGGTGGCTTTGAGGTGAAGGAATCAAAGTTCCGTAGGGAGATGGAGAAGCTGAGGAACCTGCAGTCCCGTGACTTAGCCCTGGAGGTGGACCGTGATCGGGACCAGCTAATACAGCAGACCATGCGTCAGCTAAATACGCACTTTGGCAGGCGCTGCACAACCACACCAATGGCTGTACACCGGGTGAAGGTGACCTTTAAAGACGAGCCAGGCGAGGGCAGCGGCGTGGCTCGCAGCTTCTACACCGCAATCGCCCTGGCCCTCCTCTCCAACGATAAGCTGCCCAACCTGGACTGTGTTCAGAGTGTTAGCAAGGGCATGCAGGCCAGCAGTACGTGTCATCACGATTACAATTCAAGTATGACAATACATAGAAACTACACTGTTGCCTTTATTGTTGCATTCAATTATACTTTTCTGATGCTGAAACCAGTGCAAAAGAGAGATTCTTTTTTTTACATGGTAAACTTGATATTTAGAAGTGAACTTGGTCCATTCGGTTTTTGTAGATCTAATGCAGCGTTTGAGAAACAGAGACCGGGAAAGAGAAAGGAGAAGTGGAGGGCTCCGAGCAGGATCTCGCAGAGACCGAGACAGGTAAACGTCATCTAATGTATTACCCTTTCATAAACATAAATCTGTGCTATGTGGGGCAAATCTGTGTATTTGTCTCATACAGAGACTCGAGGAGGCAGCTGTCCATAGACACAAGGCCTTTCAGACCTTCATCAGAGGGAAACCCCAGCGATGAGCCTGACCCTCTGCCTGCACACAGACAAGCCCTAGGCGAACGACTTTACCCACGTGTTCACGCAATGCAGCCGGTGATAAAATATATACATTTTTTCTCAACAACTCACTGGCAGATTTGCATAACCCTTGCTTTGCATATTAACAGGCCTGCTCAGAGGTTTGCATTATTTTGAAAGCTTTTTTGTCTGGATTTAACACATTTGTGTGTCTCCTCAGGCATTTGCCAGTAAAATCACAGGTATGTTGCTGGAGCTGTCCCCTGCACAGCTGCTGCTGCTGCTGGCCAGTGAAGATTCTCTCAGAGCCAGAGTGGAAGAGGCTATGGAGCTTCTCATTGCACATGGAAGGTAAAATACTCAAATATGTCAGTCACATGTCCATAAATGTGAATGACATTGGTTGCCTGCAACTTTTTTCCTCCTTAATGGAAACACATAGATGCATAGAAGCAATTATACCACATCTTTATAGCTTTGTGCAGAACTTGCATGCATTATAAAGGCTATTACTTGAACAATTAAAATGTGGATATTCCCACCCTACAGTTGGACAGACTGAGCTTCCATGTCTGTTTTCTTTTCAGGGAAAATGGTGCTGACAGTATTTTGGATCTGGGTCTCCTGGAGGCTCCAGAGAAAGCACAAGTAAACTCAATATCTCTCTGCTCATTTTTTCCCCTGAAGCCCTAACAACATATGTCTCCACAGCACAGCCCCTTTGTCATAGTTAACGCAGTGTCCCCGGCCTCGGCCCTTTTTATTGTGTGCTTGTAGCAGCAGGAGAACCGTAAGCGTCATGGTTCAACCCGCAGTGTGGTGGACATGGAGCTGGATGACCCAGATGATGGGGACGACAATGCTCCTCTCTTCTACCAACCTGGCAAACGAGGCTTCTACTCCCCACGGCCTGGCAAGAACACAGAGGCCAGACTCAACTGCTTCCGCAACATTGGCAGGTAATAAACTGTGTTGTTTTGTCACACAGGAGAATTATATTCTTAGTTTGCTAAAATAGAAACAAGATTTTCCCAGAATCTTAAGAAATAGACAAAGTTAAGGTAAGTATAATAAAGTTTGAGACGAGAGATTGAAAAACATTTTCTTTTCTTTCCAGAATACTGGGGTTATGTCTGCTGCAGAATGAACTCTGTCCAATCACGTTGAACAGACATGTCATCAAAGTGCTACTTGGGAGGAAAGTAAGAGAAACATGTTTTTTATCATGTATTTTCACCTACAGTTAGGCTCTCCCCTATTGATGTTGGTCCTTTTTAGAATGAAGTTACTGAATGTACATGTGTTTGTTACTGCAGGTGAACTGGCATGACTTTGCATTCTTTGACCCAGTCATGTATGAAAGCCTACGGCAGCTAATCCGCCATTCGCAGGCTGGTGAAGCAGATGCAGTATTTGCTGCCATGGACCTGGCCTTTGCCATTGACCTGTGCAAAGAAGAAGGGGCTGGACAGGTAATGGATTACCTTATGTCAGTAGTTACAGATTTTAACACCAAATGTCAACAAATTCATGCTACAGCACCTTTTTGTCATTCAGACAAAAAAATTGCACTGCATTAAAAATGTGTCAATGGGCATGTTGACCTGAGCTGAATGTGCTGTGTCATTTTAGGCTACATGGTACCTGGAAGTGAGAATACAGTAGCAGTTACTACAAAAAAGAAAATCTGAAATCTTTGTTAAGTTCAAATGACAGAAGAGCCATAAAATACTCTGAAATGTGTTGATCACCTTATTCCTCCCTTTCAGGTGGAGCTCCTGTCTGGTGGCGTCAACATGCCAGTAACTCCCCTCAATGTATACGAGTACGTGAGGAAGTATGCGGAGCACAGAATGCTGGTAGTGGCTGAGCAGCCCCTCCATGTAAGTAAAACTCTAGTCACCTTTAAAGTGTTTTTTTTTCTCTTGGGCTGTCCTGAATGGCTGTATTTGGGCCTCGAAACTTCAGCAGTAATAATCGGCTAATATCCTTCTCACGGCTGGCTGCACATAAGATATCTCATCAAAATGGCTCCTGTAGATGAAAACTGAGTTATGGTAAAGAGGAGTCATTTGTGTTTTAACACATTTCACTTATGATTTAATGATTGATTGGATGATTTATTGGAAATCTGTTCCAACATTTTCAGACATGTGAGTAGCCGACCAAGCTGTCTTCATTTTGCTCTTCATCATTGGACTCAAATATGTAAATGTGTCTTGACATTATTATGGATTCTGTCTGTTTCTTAGGCAATGAGGAAGGGTTTGCTGGATGTACTTCCTAAGAATGCCCTAGAGGACTTGACGGCTGAGGACTTCAGGCTGTTGGTCAATGGCTGTGGAGAGGTCAATGTCCAGATGCTCATCAGCTTCACCTCCTTCAATGATGAATCTGGTATGACTGCTCTGTCTGGATCTTCACAGCTCTGACCACATCCTTCTGTTTTCTTTTCTTAGCTTGTTTCCTGTGTTTACTCGGTGATGGAAGATTGACTGTTGTACCTTTTGATGCAATATAGTGAACATAGACTTGTTCTTAATTCTATAGGGGAAAATGCTGACAAACTACTGCAGTTTAAACGCTGGTTTTGGTCCATAGTGGAGAAGATGAGCATGACTGAGAGGCAAGATCTGGTATGTCACATTTTTCAATATAATACTTATACTTCATACTTCAAGAACAAAGACTGTCCCCAGTTCAGTGGTCAGTACAGCTTATTATTGGTGGTGCATTACAAAGGGCTCAAAATGTTAATGTTATCCTTTGCTAATCCCAGACACAAGATCCCCAATAAAGTCAAGAATCTTTGCATTAAAAATGGTTTTTAAAAAAAAGTGCAAAACAGCAGTTTGCAGTTTTTTACATTTTATTTTAATTTATTTTGTAGTTATTTTATTTCTCTATTCTAGTTCTTTCTTTCCCTTTTTGACCCCTCTGTCACCTACAGCATACAGCGTGCACTAAAGAAAGGGTATACAAATGAATTGAAATTCTTTGTTGTAAAATATACTCAAAGCACAAACAAATCCCTCAAATTATAGTGGCGTGCATGTGATGGAGCATGTATTGTTTTAAATGTTGTATTTCTGTTTAAATGGAATGGCAGCTGCTAGAGGGGGTCTAGTGAATCTCAGAACAAACTAACACTATAAGTTGCTCCTCACATCATGTCCCGTTTCCTAGCAGTGATGTAAAATATGGGTTCCTGGTTGCAACAAACTGTACAAAATGCAGCCTCCAGTCTGGAGCTAGCGCTAGCTGACGAGCAAATTTGGCTATCCAATAGAGCACTCTGTACTTTGAAAAACAGTTTAGAAAAGCTGGAATAACAACAGAAGAGCTGTAGGCAGCAGAACATCACAGAGGAGGGTGGTATAGCTGAGGGGCACCACATCCTGTCCCTTTTAACTTGATTTATTTTACAGCGTGTTAAATCTTGGTTAATGCACCTTTAAGTATCAGAGTTACATCCTCTGAAGTAAGGCTTTTAGTCTGTAATTTCTAATTGTATTTTCAGGCAGTAGTTGATAACACATGACTGGCAGTACTGTGGAAGACCAAAGAGGAAGAATGTATTCACTAACTGATCATTTGTTCAAAGCCTCCCTCATTGGCCTTTTTGTCCTCATCCTGACACACTAGGACTTGTAATGAAATACAGTGGTGACTGATGTAACTGATTATTTCCCTCATCCTCAGGTGTACTTCTGGACCTCCAGCCCATCGTTGCCAGCCAGCGAGGAGGGCTTCCAGCCAATGCCCTCAATTACCATCCGGCCTCCAGACGACCAGCACCTCCCCACAGCCAACACCTGCATTTCCCGTCTCTACGTGCCACTCTATTCATCTAAACAGATTCTCAAACAAAAACTCCTGTTAGCCATCAAGACCAAGAATTTTGGTTTTGTGTAGAGGTCTGACAAGGGAGTTTAAAAAAAGGAAAAAAAGAAACATGTTTACTGTGTAATATTTACCTAGCTCCATTTTTGTAGATTTATTTTTTGTCTATACAATTTTATGAAATTAAACATACTATCTCCCCAGCCAGTAAAAGTTTTGTGTTATGAACACAAACATCTTCTTTTATTTCAATTTTTATTTTTATTTTTTGTGTTTGTGTTAATGAAGAGGTATACAGTCCAGAACATTCCTGCACTGTAAAATGTCTGCAGCCCACAGCTCTGCTCTATTGGCTTAAACCTTTGCTTCCCAGGAATTTGGTTCGACACAAAGCTGTCAGCCGAAACCCAGCCAAAGATGACAGCAGTAATAGTATTTAAAAGAAGAAAAGATGCACTGTGATTGTTTTGTTCCCTTCCCTACAAAAGTACTATCACTGACAGTTCACTGCTGCCTTTGTGGAAAGTTTTTTTTTTTCCTTGTACAGGGGGAGTAGGGAATTTCACAATAAACTTGGATGCAAAAAACCTATCCAGTCTTGATTACTTAAAAAAAATATATTTACTGCTTTATGTAAAGATGGATAGGAAATGTAGGAGGCTATTATGAAAATCCTTGACATCATGATCACAATATTTTGTCACTATATTACAAAAGTAATTTCTAAATCAAAAGTGAAATTTTAATTTAAAGTAACGAAATAATTTTGTTGGAAAATAGCAGGAGCAGTGTAAATAGTAGTTTTGTAATGGATTTGAAATATGACAAATCTATCAGGTGTTTTTGGGCCAATCAGCATTGAAGAAACTAGCCACGCCCACTTCATTGGAGTGGTCGCTGCCGGTTTTGTTGCCTTCATATCACTTTGGGGAAAATGGAAAACTGTGTGTCTAGTCAATTAAGATGGGCAGGTCAGAGTAGCTTACATGCAGAACAGCACCTTCCGGTATTTGTTACAAGCGGGGCTAAATGCATGTTGTTAACAACTGATTGTAAATTTGGTACACTAAATAATGGCAAATAAACTCATTAGCATAGTCGTATTCTTCAGTCTCGCACTGAAAAAAAATAATGTCTTCAAAGTAACAATAGCTACGGAAACGTTACGTTTCCTTTAAACAGCCATTCTGGACATTAATTGCGGTCGTGTTTTTCAATCTGGAATCTTAAGTTTACAAGTGACAGTGAAGGCAGCTTTTCTTCAGCGAAAACAGCCATATGAGGTTAACCTGCTTTACGCGCGGACAGTAGGTGCATTGTGATGATCAGCTAACGGTAGCATATTGTCGTACGATGATATGAGCTAGCTGCCTTGATAATTAGCTAACTTAGTTCGTCACCGCTGCCTTTACAGACAACTAGCCAGTTGTCTGACAAGGCCGATGTTGCTAGCGGCGGAGGAGATTAATTTATTGTTTTGCATCATGTCCAAATCGTTCCTTTATTTCTAGCTAGCACTGCAGGCTAGCGTAGTTGACAGCGGCAAACAAAGCGTGACTAATCAGTTTGTTTAAAAACAAAACGACATGGAGCAGTGGCAGGACGTGGCCTCTCAGCAGGTCAAGCTGCTTACAAATCGTGTGAATGAACTGTTGTCCAAAGGCCTGGGGCTGCTGCGCTCCGAGCTCGGCGTGGATTTGGGACTGAAGCCTGATCTTATTCCGCCATGGGTGATCCTCTTAGCGGCATGTATCGGACTGGTGCTGATGGTCGCTCTATGGGCCTCACTCTGCCGGCCTCGTATCAAGAAACGATCCGCAGTAAGCCCTGTGGACGACGGCATCAAATTAAAGCGAGGTGCCAGTAAACCTGTCAAATCAGAGGAACCGAAGAAAAAGAAGAAGAAGGCAGAAAAGGCACGTCAACGAAACCAGTGTACATCTTTTCGTAGCATGTTAATCGTCCCGTTAGCAAGGCTAGTTATGCTAATACCTCGTTGACAGTTGAAGCTAGCTTGCATACTGTTACTTCAGGCTAGTGTCTGACGTGGCTGTGATAGGCTTTGGTGGCATTATGTGTGGACTGTTTTAGTGTAACGTCAGCACTGTTGGAAATTGTTGTGGCATCTACATTTAAGTGTGTGTTTATACTCTTTCCAGAAAGCCCAGCCAAATGGAAGAGCTGTTGAAGAACCACAGGGGGAAGCCATTGTGTCCGAGGATATAATGCCACATCAGCAGCAGCCGCCACCAGAAGTCAAGGCTGAAAAGGCTACAGAGGTAATTTGTTGTATTAACTACATATATCAGCTCTCACACACGCCACAGTATGGTGTGAACATATTTGTGTCCAGATGTTTTAGTTGTGCTTGTAAATTGTTGCACCCAACTGTTATTACTTGTAATCTTTACTTTGGGTATCCTTTTCAACAAAAATCAGTTGAGCAATTACCATGCTTTCTCACTATCACCCTGCAGTGAAGTAACCAGACCAGCTGCCAGTGTTAGGTTACAGTCTTCAACTTGGGGTTGCAGCAAAAACCCTAGAGGATGGCTTCTGGCTTAGAACAGCACCAAGTGCAACCGCTCCTATAATGCCACCCTCTGGACACCCTAAAATAACACAAACTGCATGATCCTTAAGGTGCTTGAGTCGGAATATGTACTGTTCAAATACTAAGGACATGTAACAGATTTAGGGAGTGCTGGACCCTGGGTGTGGTTTCACTTATAAATAGTCATAGCCTTAGCATGGAGATTTGATTGACTCTCCTTGGTTCAGTCAGCATGGAGTAACATGCCCAGTTGCTGCCCATGTGCATGAAATCGTATGTGCTGCATAGCTTCTACACTGTAGTACCTCTGTTTAATTAAATCCACTTTCACAAACCTCAGTGCCCTTTTTTTTTTTTTTTTTTTTTAAATGCATCAGCTTTCTTATCTCACATTATGCTTACTGTTTCCCTCATGCAGGTGAAGAAGGCAAAGAAGAAGGCCAGACAGGCTGTAAAGGAGACCAAGACAGTGAGTGCAGATGGCAAAGAACCTGAAGAAGGTGAAATATTATGAATCATATCATAATTAAATTGCATTGATCAATTGATGCCTGGGTATAATCTCAGCTATTTGTACCAGCCTGTTTTCATTGTTTATTAAGGCACCATTTTCAGTAATCACCCCATTGTACCAAACAGTGAATGACTAACTTCTGCACTAGTTTTGTAGTGGGTGTGACTGTAGACTTGGTTGAAAACTAGACTTGTACCTCACTTGTAGTAGAATAGGAGCAGCCTGTGACTTTTTCTCAGAAAAATGTATCTGAATACTCTAAGCCATACTGTATTTCCTCACTAATCCCATAATTAGCCCTTGTAGTATTTTTCAGATAATCCCACACTGCACTCATAATTAAACTTTTCAGGCACATGGGAGACCAAGGTCAGCAACAAAGAGAAGCGTGAGCAGCGCAAGAAGGACAAGAATTCCAGTGACGGCTCAGCTAGTCCAGGAGGAGGCAACACAGCTGCGAGTGCTCCACCGGAGCAGCCCAAGGCCCCTGCAGCCTCCATGCCTGTGAACCAGAAGAAAAAGAAAGGTGGTTTTAAGAGTGTGCATTTTTATTTAGGTTGTGATTTGCCTTGGAAGAGGTTTTGAAATTGAGAACGTGGAGGAGTTTGCAACAGTTGTGGTTTTTACATGCACACGGAGTATGAAACCTCTGGACCATTTTGGATAAACAACCTAAATTGGCATCTAGAGAGAGATATTTCTGTCTGTTGTTTCTGTTTACACTGTTGTTGTGTGTGGTAAGTCTCCTGATGACAGGACATGCTATAAATACAGGTATTATGGGAATTGAATTGAGTCTCTAGTGAGTTTTCCCTTGAAGTGTTACAGCTGTGGTTGTGTATGTGCTGTCTCTTCAAAAACGGCCTATTATTGATGTTGTTCTTGGTATATATTCATCTGTTATCCTTTTATTCTCAGGAGAATCCACAAAGGTGAAGGCGGAGAAGGTGGAAGCTGCATCTCAAGGTAATGACGACCACGCAGAGCTTCAGCCATTTCCTGATTGTTTATACAGAAAGACACTTTAAGCACTTTGTGTAATAGTAAATCTGAAGTCACTTGCTTTTCCACGATCACAGTATTAAGAGTTTTGCCAAATTGATCTGATTGTCTTTTGGCTTTAGTTAACAGCACTGGAGCGGCAGTGGCGCCTGCTGGTGCAACTCGCGTGGCAGTCAAGGCTCCTGCTCACAGTGTTGCTCCAGAGACGGGCCCCTGGACAACCAGCAGAGAGCCAGCGTCACTGTGGAGGACAGATATTGATGGTAAAAATGATTTCTCTCCTGAAGTGCTTAGTTGTTGAGTCCTAGCTGTGTTGGTGTCATATTTTATAAAGCTTTATGGTGTTTCATGAAGCAGTTAATACCTGATAACGCCTCTTATGCTGCAGTGTCGGAGGGAGTGCTTACAGTGGATAGATATTCATTCCAAGATTAGTCATAGTAAATGGATCAGGTATTGGGCAGATGTGGCTGATCCACATTACATATTGGTTTTAGTCACTGGTTATAAAGCTTATGGTTATCCCAGAAGCCCTGTTCTATGATGACATGAGTGAGGTGCCTAGCTATAAGAAGTGTTCTCTCAGTGCTGTCCTCTTATGCCACCGCTGACTGGCAGTTGTGACACTTGTGTCACCAGGAGCTTACATCTCTCCTGTCAGAGAGGTTGATGCAGCATCACTTGTCCCACCCAGGTTAGTTTTATTTTATTTGTTCGGTCATTCTAATGTCTCACCATGGGTGTATGCAGCCCACTCGCTGTATTGCCAGACACGTGCATCTTTTCGACGGATTGCCCACCTAGGATTTCTGATATGAACCCTGTCTGAGCTCCTGCTTAGGATGGGGCGACGCAGTGACAACCAGCAAATGTTAAAGTTGAAGCCTAGTTTGCTGCTGCACATAATGTATCTCTTCCATAGACGGTGCCCAAGAAGTTGCCATTCCCCTGATGAATGAGCAGGGAGCCCAGCTCTGGGTCTTGTAGTTCTTTGCTGGTGTAAGCCATATCAATTGTTTCCACAGTCTAATGGGAGAGGTGTTGCTTACTAAGGGCTCTGCACATATGGAGCTTTACCCATGAAACAACCAACTGATCAGATCTCTTTTTTTGTTCCATATAAGCATGTGGAGCTGTCACTGGGTAGGGTGTATGCAGGCGCTCATGCTCGGGAGGACAAGTGAGAAGGGGAAACTGGGCCTGATTTAAAAGGAACAAACAATGCATGCATTGTGCATGTAGTGAGATTCCACATTCATGTTTTGCTGAGACAGGCTATCTGCTGTTGTGTGCTACATGTGTGAAAGGGCAACGCTCAACAACGCCTGGGCCTGATTCCACAGACACAGTCCAGAGTTTATGTGTGAAAAGGGCTGAAGACAGTGTCTAGCACCAGTGATAAATCCCATGAGAGAATAAATAGTTGAGGCACTGGGCAAACTCTGTGTGCTTCTTTCATAAATGTAGTTAAGGGGGGTGCTGGTTCATCCAGCCATCTTCACAACCCATATGTCTGGCTGAAAAAGACAAATACACTTGAGCAGTAGAAAAGGCCTTGATCAGTGTTTGAAACTGATTTCAACTTGCAAGTTAGGTTTTCAAGAGGTTTGTTGCATTTCCTGTTTTTGTAGCACAAGTCCCCTGCATATTTTGCTTACTGCATACTGTATCACTCCATTTATCCAGCTTTAATAGTCCAGACTGTTTCCTGATCACTGATGTTGTGAGGCCTTCCTTTGCCACTATTCCGTTGCTCTGTGCAGCAGTCCGACTCTTTTTGTAGTCACTCATTTTTAATTTTCCAACAGCATCTGTGTGTGTTTCACTGCTGATTGGCAGTTTTTGTTTATGTTGAGCCATAGTTAATTCTGTTGTACAGTGACATCATAGCATCTGTGAAATGTATGTTTCAGAGTCGTGGACTGTGATTGACAGGGGGATGACTACAACAGAGTTGAATCTGTCTTTTGCTGGACTGGGGGTTGCTGCTGCTAGTAAGTATACAGTGAACTGATGCAATACTAGATTGCATAGGTTCCCAAAGCAAGCATTTGTTCCTCGCAGGTGTGGTCACTGTGTCTGTTCTCCTGTAGAGCCCCAGCCTGTGGGCAGTAACCTGCCTTGGCTCAGTCAGCCCAGAGTAGACGACGAGTGGTCTGGACACAGTAAGGACATTATCCTGTTTTTTCTTTCTCTCTTTTTACTGTTCTGGTTCATTTTAATGTTGATTATAGGTATGTCTCTTGTTTACACTTGTGTGTCCTGGTGGTCTTTGTGTTTTCCAGATGGTGGCTCAGTCGACCCCGGCTCTGACTGGAACGCCCCCTCTGAAGCCTGGGGCAACTATGAAGAACCTACTCCTGCGCCCCCTCCCACTCAGGAGCAGTCCATCCATGAGCCTGCCAAGGTTAATCTGCTGATTGGAGCAACTGTGAGTATGAAGCCAGGCTTGGACAAAACTAAGCATTATTGGAGTTACCTGGATGTTTTAATACATACAACAGCACCCCAATAATATACGACTCCTCTGGGCTCAGGCCCCAGGGTGGCTGTCCTGGTTCTGCCCCTGTCTGTGGCCTTGCTGCCCACAGTATTGACTCAACTGAGTGAATACACACACAGGCTTTTTTTGGTTTGTTCTTTAAGGATATTACAATCCTTGCACACCCCTGACACACCTTGTTCATCCATTCATTAGTAGTGGGTGATGAAACCACTTCTCAGCACTTTGTGGGTGGGTACAAACCCTCCTTTATATAGAGGGTGAGCATTGTGACTTGTCATAGCAGGAAACAGATGTAATTAATGATAGCATTCAAATTAATTGACAAATGTTGATATGATGGCATGCACTGGTGTCCCCCAGTGTAATGTTTGATAAGACCACCAGATGGCGCTATGGCAGTTTTAAATCCAAGATGTAGAAATGCAGTGCTGTATGTTTGTTGCTGTCTTTCAAATCTCGAGTCTGTTCCTCCTTTTTTTCTGAGTCATGTTTCATCTCTTTGTGTTCCTCAGGAAGATGAAGAGGATGAAAAGGACAAGGTAGACAGTGCTGCTGATGGAGCAGCTAAAACTAAAAAGAGGAAGAAGAAGAAGAAGAAGGCTGCAGAAGAGGGAGGAGCAGCGGGCCAGGTAACTGCTAGTGACAAAATCACCTGTCTGTTCTCATGGTCCATATGATGGAAGTCTCTCAAATACATACAATATTTCAGTCTTTTGACAGTTCTAAGGTTGATCTTGAATTTATGAGACTGTTGGATTTAATTCAGCTTGTTTTCTGTGAAGGGCGAAGAGCCAGAGAAGGAGGTCGTTCCTGCAGCTGCAGTGAAGAAGCAGTCACCCGCTCAGGAGGATGCTGCTGCTGCCACCATCCACTTTGTCAAAGCAGCTGCTGCTGTCCCGGTCAGTTGAGTGAAATCTGATGCAAGAGCACGCCATCTAAAATGTGTTTTGCTTCATCTCAGAAGCATACGTTTTCTTATTGTGGCATCTTGTGCAGTTTTTGGATTTGATTATTCTTTCTTTGCTGTTGTGATTTACCTTCAGGCTAGAGTGGAGCAACCAGTGAAGGACAACACATCCCAGAAGCCCCCTGTCACACAAGTGCCACCGAAGCCAACTGAGGGAGAGCCCACTGCCAAGCAGACCAGCCTTCCTGCTCCGACACAACAAAGTGAGCACATTAGACTGCCAAGTGGAACACTAATCGCTGCTGCACACTAGCACTGAGCCGTTTGATGGAAACTAATTACTCTTCTATTTCCCATTGACCCTATTACCTGATGTCATCCATCCATATTCATTTTTAATATTACTGACCCAACCACGCTTTTGATTTGAGGCACTTTATACCATGTTCCCTAATATCTTGCTGCCCCTAGCAAGCAGCTCCACATTTGGTCAGTCATAATGTTGTGTGTGTCAGTGCCAGCCGTTTCTAAGGTTCTATTGTGATTGTTTGGAAAGAAATGTTTAGTTTCTGGTGTAATGAAGAATATATCTGGGATTTCCTAGCAGGAGTGTCTGCTGTAGCCTCTTCTTATCATGGTGCATCCTGCCATGATGCCCTTTATGATCATTGTTTCATCTTGGTAGCATTTCTTGCTGTGAGTCTGGGAACACAGGCTTTACTTTAGAAATCTGTTGATCTCTATATTGCTTCACTGTTGAGAGCCTTCACTCACTGCCCTCAAAGTAAAAGAAAGCATGTTTACCAAACTTTTTTTAAAGGTGTTTATTTGTTGCACCTTTTCTCTGCATTGCCACCTGTCCTGTTAGAGGAAGAATGCAACACAGTACCTGCTCTGAACACTAAGCGCACTGCCCAACATTCACATTCCGACTTGGGCCCAGTTTACACATAAAATTATTAAGTGTGCTCTTAGCACCAGCCAAAGTGATGTGACCTACCTGATGTAGAAGAGCTTGTCGGGCACTGTTAAGAAGACAGCCAGTCACATGTTGTGGTATATCACTCTTCCTCTACACAGAAAAACCCGAGGAGAGCCAAGTGCCCAGACCAGCAAAGAAGAAGAAGGCCAGGAGAGAGACATGAGACCGAGTCCACTCTGCAGACCTCTGTATGCAAAAGACTTCCTATCCTGTTTATGCAACACCTTTTGTGACGAGAACTTTGAACTAAGATTTTCATGATGGACTTGCCCATCTGGAAAATGAAAATGATTTTTATGCACGTCGAGCATATGACGATGGATCATTGAAAACAACAGATGCAGCGGTGTTGACTTTCAAGTATGGGTGTGATACTGATCCTGTCTTCTAATTCCATTGAATCAAGTAACTGATTGAAAGAACTGTATTGTCATAAATAGATGTGTAGAAAATACTTATCATGTTTAGAAACTTGGTGTTGTGATGGCTAACGACTGGAGTTTACTGTGTAGAGAATAAGAACAGTCAACGTGCATCAGGTCACACCGGACCTTGATGTTGTACTGGCCTTTGCTTTACAGTCTTTTATTGTGCTCTGACATCTGAGCTGTGACGGTACAGAGAGCACTGTTGAGCTGAAATGGGCAAATGTTAACTTCACTACAGTGGTTCTGGCCCAACAGGATGTAAACATTTGTGACATAAGACGATGCTCACGTCTTATGTCACAAATGTTTACATTTACTTGTTACAGATAAAGGAATCAGATCTGCTCTGTATTTTTGCATCGTTGTGTGACTACATTTCATCCACACAGTCCATCTGCTTTGTCTCTTGTCTGGTGCTGTATTGTGGTCTGTTGACACAACTGTTGCTGGTTTTACTATCCGACTGCATTGTGGCTGGAGCTGTACTGGGACCTTCTGATCATAGATGTGCCATTGCAGTGACCCCTTTGTGTTTTCCCACCCGCTGTTGATTTGGAAGTCTTCAGAACCTTTTGTAAAACCTGTTTGTAATAAAAGAAAAGCCTAAAGCCATATGTAAAAAGACTAAATAAAGGCCAGTTTTTCTATGTGTGGGCTTTTTTATGCTACAATTTTTATTTCAGCAATTCACTACTGTCAATGATATGTAACAATATGTCCCGTAACTTCTAGATTAATGTGTTTAAGACCAGACAAATTTTAGTGGCTAGCACAAGACGCACAAAGCCGTATTACTAAATTAAACTCGACTGATATCACTCACAAATGCATCCATGTTTTCTTTCCAATGTCAACAATGAAGCCTGCAGACTGGGTTACTGGTATTTTTTCCATTTAAGTGTGAGGAAAAACTATTTACTAACAGTCACTGAAATGGTATTAAGAAGCCTGTCGGTCATAACCCAAAGTTCTACCGTGTTTTTCGGGGTCACAACACTTCGACATCAAGATACTAGACTAAGCGGCCTCTAGTTAGCTTAAGTGTAATGCATTTTTTTTTATAAACATTGTTTCACAAAATGTAAATGCAGTATAATGTAAATAGAGCAGTGCCAGGGATATTAGATGAAATAAAGGTAAAGCTACAAATTCTTGATAATGTAGTGACCTCAGGCGCGGAGGAGAGGAGCGAATGCTAACTGGGCAGCTAACTAGCTAGCGGGGTGCTAGCTCCTACGATAAGACTAACACTGTTGCGACCGGGCTCTATGTACCGCGCCGCTTTACAATCCCTCAACGATCACACCTCCACCTTCTATTACTGGCACCGTGTGCGCCCTCACCCTGAATTGCTCTTCAGTGGCGTAATTCACCGTTCTCAACTCACACAGTCAGCCAGCTCTCTGTTTACTTTATTTTCTCCGTCACAGCAACTACAGACTCCCCCCACACACAGGCATAATAATACAGCGAGAGAAACACGTCCAATCGAACAGCAGTCAACAGGTTCGAGCATCGAATGCTCGATGCAACCCAACACACACAGCATGAACCCAACAGTCATTTTTAACCCCTCAAAATACAACAATAACAAGAACCGTAAAACACAATGACTCAGGATTATACCACAATATTACGCTAACTATTTACACATTCGCATAATGCTTGCCGCTGTCACTAACCCTCCCGCTGGCTGGCATAGTCATCACAGTATATTTTTTCTGCTTTTGTAAAACAGCCACCCTGGCTGTGTTCCTTCCTTCCAATTAGGGCAATAAGGTAAACACCATTTTTCAGTAAATTAAATATATTAAGGTCTACTTTGGTCCCAGAAATATTAGCCTATATGTCCTGTGCACTTATTCTGTGCAACAAGCAAGCTAAGCTTGCAAAAAGAATGAGGCCTGTTAGCTCTTTTGTTAGCCAACTTAAACTAATTCTTGTGGAGCACTAATAGAATTGTGGCCAAGGGCTGAAAGCAATAGGCATTCAACAGCCTTTTTTCATTTCGTGTCAAGATTTGTTTCTATTGAATGAGTATTTATTTTATAGCCCATTAAAGCAGCCATAATCATCAGAAAAGGGCCACATGAATTGTCTTTGTATCAGTAATGAGTTGTTTTGGAAAGCCACGT